TATATTAGGTAAAAACCTGTTTACCTGTCACCTCTATATTAGGTAAAAACCTGTTTACCTGTCACCTCTATATTAGGTAAAAACCTGTTTACCTGTCACCTCTATATTAGGTAAAAACCTGTTTACCTGTCACCTCTATATTAGGTAAAAACCTGTTTACCTGTCACCTCTATATTAGGTAAAAACCTGTTTACCTGTCACCTCTATATTAGGTAAAAACCTGTTTACCTGTCACCTCTATATTAGGTAAAAACCTGTTTACCTGTCACCTCTATATTAGATAAAAACCTGTTTACCTGTCACCTCTATATTAGGTAAAACACGTGTAAACCTATCCCGCTACCTTAAGTAACACACGTGTGAACATGTCCCCTCTATCTATAGTAACACACGTGTGAACATGTCCCCTCTATCTATAGTAACACACGTGTGAACATGTCCCCTGTATTTTAAGTAACTCTTGTGTGAACCTGTCTCCTGTATCTATAGTAACAAGCATGTAAACCTTTCTCACGTATCTAAAGTAACACAAATGTCGACCTCTATCTTCTAAAAATAGTAACAAACGTATGAATATGTTTCATGTATCAATAGTAATACGAGGTGTGCACCTGTTCCTAATATCTATAGTAGAATACGTGTGAACATGTCCCCTCTTTCTTAAGTACCACAAATGTGTAACTATCATCTCTATCTTTAGTAACACACGTGTGAACCTGTCCCCTCTATCTATAGTAACACACGTGTGAAACTATCCCCTCTGTCTATAGTAACACACGTGTGAACCTATCCCCTCTGTCTATAGTAACACACGTGTGAACCTGTCCCCTCTGTCTATAGTAACACACGTGTGAACCTGTCCACTATATCTATAGTTACACAGGTGTAAACTTTTCCACTCCGTATATAGTAACACACGTGTAAACATGTACTCTCTATCTATAGTAACACACGTGAGAGCCTGTCCCCTCTTCCTTTAGTAACACACGTGTAAACATGTACTCTCTATCTATAGTAACACACGTGTGATCCTGTACTCTCTATCTATAGTAACACCCGTGTGAACCTGCCACCTCTGTCTATAGTAACACACGTGTGTACATGTCCACTATATCTATAGTTACACAGGTTTAAACTTTTCCACTCCGTATATAGTAAGACACGTGTAAACATGTACTCTCTATCTATAGTAACACACGTGTGATCCTGTCCCCTCTTCCTTTAGTAACACACGTGTAAACATGTACGCTCTATCTATAGTAACACACGTGTGATCCTGTCCCCTCTTCCTTTAGTAACACACGTGTAAACATGTACTCTCTATCTATAGTAACACACGTGCGAACCTGTACCCTCTTTATATAGTTACACAGGTGTAAACTTTTCCTCTCCGTATATAGTAACACACGTGTAAACATATACTCTCTATCTATAGTAACACACGTGAGAACCTGTACTCTCTATCTATAGTAAAACAAGTGTAAACCTGTCACCTCTTTCTATATTAACAAACCTGTGAACCAGTCACCTCTTCCTATATTAACGCACGTGTGAACATGTACTCTCTTTCTTTAGTAACACACGTGTGAACCTGTTCTTTCTATCTATAGTAACACCCGTGCGAACCTGCCCCTCATCTGTCTTTAGTACACACGTGTAAACATGTCCCCTCTTTATATAGTAACACACGTGTGAGCCCGTCCCCTCTTCATATAGTAACGCACGTTTATAGTAACACACGTGTGAAACTATCCCCTCTGTCTATAGTAACACACGTGTGAACCTGCCACCTTGAACCTATCCCCTCTGTCTATAGTAACACACGTGTGAACCTGTCGCCTTTACCTATATTACATACGTGTGAACCTGTACTCTCTATCTATTGTAACATACGTGTGAACCTGTCCTTTCTATTTATAGTTCACACGTGTGAACCTGTACTCTCCATCTATAGTAACACACGTGTGAACCTATCCCCTCTATCTATAGTAACACACGTGAGAACCTGTACTCTCTATCTATAGTATCACACGTGTGAACCTGTACTCTCTATCCATAGTAACACACGTGTGAACCTGTACCCTCTGTCTATAGTAACACACGTGTGTACATGTCCACTATATCTATAGTTACACAGGTGTAAACCTTTCCACTCCGTATATAGTAACACACGTGTGAACATGTCCCCTCTATCTATAGTAACACATGTGTGAACCTGTCCCCTTTTCCTTTAGTAACACACGTGTAAACATGTACTCTCTATCTATAGTAACACACGTGTGAACCTGTACTCTCTGTCTATAGTAACACACGTGTGAACCTGTACTTTCTATCTATAGTAACACACGTGCGAACCTGCCCCTCATCTGTCTTTAGTACACACGTGTAAACATGTCCCCTCTTTATATAGTAACACACGTGTGAGCCCGTCCCCTCTTCATATAGTAACGCACGTTTGAACCTGTATTCTCTATCTATAGTAACACATGTGCGAACCTGTACCCTCTTTATATAGTAACACATGTGTGAGCCCGTCCCCTCTTCATATAGTAACGCACGTTTGAACCTGTACTCTCTATCTATAGTAACATACGTGCGAACCTGTCCCCTCTTTATATAGTTACACACGTTTGAACCTGTCCCCTCTTTATATAGTAACACACATTTGAACCTGTCCCCTCTTTATATAGTAACACACGTTTGAACCTGTCCCCTGTTTCTATAGTATCACACGTGTGAACCTGCCACCTCTGTCTATAGTATCACACGTTTGAACCTGCCACCTCTGTCTATAGTAACACACGTGTGAACCTGCCACCTCTGTCTATAGTAACACACGTGTGAACCTGTCCCCTCTTTATATAGTAACACACGTTTGAACCTGTCCCCTCTTTATATAGTAACACGTTTGAACCTGCCACCTCTGTCTATAGTAACACACGTGTGAACCTGCCATCTCTGTCTATAGTAACACACGTGAGAATGTGTCGCCTCTGTCTATAGTAACACACCTATGATCCTGTCCCCTTTATATAAAGTAACACGTGTGAACTTTCCCCTGTATTTATAGTAACACATATGTGATTCTGTCCCCTGTATCTATTGTAACCTATTTTCACACTTCCTATACACAAACCTTAGATAAACATTCAATACATTCCCCTTATAATGATCGTCAATGACGTTACACATATTTATTTATTTGTTTTCCACTAGACATGTCAGACTCATTACAGGTATTGAATTATCAGTCTGGATTCCACTCTATATTATAATACCCAACAATGCGGAAGTAGAATGTAAGAGAGCGACATACGCTATAGCGTCACTTTTCATCCCGACATATTTGGTTTTGCATGCCGCCAACACGAACTTATGCACGAGAAATACTCTGCCAAGATGAAGTCCGGTTTATGAAAGCCAGCTCGGCACAATATCACCTAGCGCTAACAATTACACGTCATCAACCAGCCGATAGTAATACTATTTGTCTGTTCTCTCCTCCCTCTATCTTCTTTGTTATATTCACGGTTCATCCATCACTCTCAAACCCCGACATTCACCACTGTACACTGAGTCCTGTTCCTGGTCGCCATATTTGGCGTAAGGTGTAAACACCAAGTACCAATGGGGAAGTGTCTTATTATTTTCTTCACAATCGCTAACACTTCCCGTTCTCTATAGCTAAGGACGCGCAAATAAATTATCCGTGATGTGTGGAGGGGGATGCGCGGGATCTGTGACATCACATTTGTGACGTATGAAGTATTGGGGGATACCCTCGCTAAGCCAATGTCTTACTAACTAATCATGCCTTCTTTGACTCGTAGGGATATCGGGTTACTCCCTGGCGGTGTCTTCTGCTACTGACTGAACCACGGCGCCCCCTAGCGGATGCGCGAGCAGTATAAAACATTACAAGGGCTAGTATTTAAAGCATTCGTTCGGGCGTTTTAGTCACTCTGCCGTTAGTGTACAAACTCACCACTCAGTGCCGAGCAGTGGATTAAAAGTAGTTTCACTTTCAGCTCCATTTCGTGATTTCCTGTAGATTTCATTTTTCTTTCTTTTGTGGTTTGCTGTATTCCTGAACTAACAAAATGGGTGATTTTGATTCGGATATTAACAAGGTTGTGCACGTGAAGCGAACCTACCAGGTATACCGAGGCACATCGCCCACCACACAGAACCGATTCGAGGTGAGTTTTTGGTGTGAAATCCCTTTCCCTCTTCAATGTTGATATCAAACTATAACATACGTGTTTTCCTCTGTTGCTTTCTGTGTGCGATGTTTGGATAAAACGCCTGTGCTATTTTTAGATCACAACTGATGAAAAACATCCAATTGATTCATAATTTTAATCTAATTTCAAATTAATAATTGTTCAATCTTATGAATTTTATACTCCCATACTATCTAATGTTGTAATAAGATGGAAAGTTTTTCTAAAATGTATACCCTAGCTTTAACTGTGGCTTAACTTCAAACTGTGGACAACGTTTGTGTTTGCCGGACTGGATTAACAAGTTGTCAAGCTATGTTGCCAAGTGGTGTGCTTGCATTTGCTATTGTGCTATCAATGTTGCTGTTCCGTGGCTGGAGCTATAGACTGGATTAAAGTGAATGTTGCTGCCTTTATTGTGAAAAGACCTGGCTAAGTTAAATAGTGCGGCTCCCTGGTCACCTGTTGGATTAACACTTTGAGGATAGATACGATTTGCCCTTTGTATTAAGTCTGCATTGTGGAGAAACTAACCGCCACTTTCAGTAGTGACTCGGAAGTAAATAAAAACAGGAAGTGATACTCACTTATTTAAAATACCTTTAATACATATAAATAATTCAAAATATGATAACTTATTTCAATATTGCGTTCGAGTTATGTACATGTCTATATAAGTTAGATATTAGTTATATAACTTAAATTTAGTACTGTCAGGAAGTACTGATAGCTAAGTACCGTATATCAGACATAGTAGAGGGTTGGTAGTGAAACCTGTTACATTTGGTATGGTATAACGTACAACCGTTATCTCAGAAACACGCGAGCCCCACAGCGGGATAACAGTTTTGGAAGCGATGTTTGTGAATACGATGCTGCAAGTCAATAATCTGATAAGGCTTGGGGTTTAATGGGTAAAGGGTATAGCAACGATCACTGGGCGTCTGTCGGTTATCTCTCACCAGTAGCGCACGTGAATTGGTACAGAAATTTCAGGAATGTTCATACTCATCCCTTCCCTGACGTAAATATATCGTCTGCATGTTACTTTTTCGACAAAAATAGTCAAAACATTTAGTAAGGATGTAGAAGTCTTTAAAATAGATTGACTTTATATATAATTGTATCAATCGAATAATAAAGCATTTGGAAATACATGAATGTCCCTTAAGGTCAAATCAGCGAAAGTATACAGAAACTGTCGAATCAACTTCGGGAAGTGTCGGGCGTTTCCGGCCACCGACGGAAGATGGCTACTTTCCTCTTTTGGGCATTGCACGATGGTTGAAGAGCCATAGAGATAGGGATTGCATTACACGAGCCAAAAATAACCGGCGTTTGTGTATACAGCTTGCCACGGACTGCCATTGAAATCTAGCCAAAATACTTCAGATTTTTATCATGAGTAGGCGAATTTCTCCAGGCAAATATTTCTTGGGTCTATAATAAAACACAAACTAAACTGCAGAAGATAACTTAGATTTTTTTCATTGAAGCCATGACTACATATTCTAGATAAGTATTAAAGCAATCATATTTTATAAATAGACCCAGAGGAAATAAAATTATAAACCTTTTACAGACTTTAAAAAGAAGTTCATCTTTTTTAATCACGATATGATCAATATTAAACCACACTGGTACATGCTGATGCAGTACTTCTCTGTCTATTTGTGCGGTTTTATGTTTTTTAATTATTATTCTTATTCGACGTAACATGCTTACATAATATAAACTTATAACGTCACATACTGTGTTCTAGCTATGATGATGTGGTTAATAAATATTAAATTGAAATCCTGGTTGTTGATAATGAAATACATATTTCGTTTCTTTTTTACAACTTGCTATAAAACAAAAATTGATATTTTATAACCCATTATTGGCCACGAGTATAAAACGCCTGTCTATTTTTCACCAATGATATGTAAATACAAATAAGTGGTTTATATGATGAGCAATTGCATGCATAATACATTCTGACGAACATCTTTCAACAATATGAAACTTCAGAGAGTTCAGAATTATGGTAAACATCTGGTTGAATTAGTTTTATATTGGTTAGATAAGCGTCCAGTGGCCCGTGGGAGAGATGTATCTCCTAACGTCTGTGTGTACGCGTGTAAAACCACCGTCACCTTCAGGATACCAGGAGTGCAGTAACATATTTACTTCAATTTAAATCGATTCGTTTGTTCGATAATAACCAGGATTTCAATGTAATAACACATACATACTACTTCATTGTTTGCATGTGTCATCTTCATGAGTCATTTCATCATTTAAGTAAGTACTATCTGTTCCAAATAAAAAAATAAATAAAAAAATCTGAGAATTACAGCACCCCGTTAACGAAGCCCCGCCCCTTCCTGTTTGCCAACCTCCCTCATTCAAATTCGGGTACCTTTTTATAACAGACTACAAACTTTGGTTTGTTAGAACACGGGGACTATTTCCAGACGAGCGAGTACGAGTCAGATACAATCAGGTGCCATTGCCTCGAGTTCGAGTCAACTCAGAACAAGTTCAAGCCAAGTGAAACGTACCATTATCAGCTCTTCATCAACTGCTGCACAGTCATCTTCTAATGTCAATGTAGAGAGGTCATCTCGCGTATTAAAACATGAACAAGACCTGTTTCATGCAGAGGAACAACGATTTCAGGTAGTGTATGTATATTCAGGTACATCAATGAGGTTGCGAGTGCACTTCCGCCCACTCCAAGCATGTCCTGACGTCACTTCCTGCAAGCTATTTCTTCTTTACGACAGTGAAAAATTACAAAAGAACATGGTCGCGTTTAAAATTAATTGAGAATTCCTGTTTCAATGACTAGAGATCTCCTAATTTGTATGAAATACTGCCAAATTTGAAGTGAAATGTTTATAATAATGACAAAAACAATCCGATTGATTCTCATCAAGGATTCGAATTAAAGAAACAACAGGTTACATCAGTGGGATTGAGGCGTTGTACAAATGGACAAAGGAAGAAGGAATTTATGGAGAAGATATACGACAGAATGGATGACCTGACTGAATCTTTCTTTGAGAGTGATTTCCCTTTGAAGAGTGACTTCCGTTGAGGAAAACCTCCAATCATATATACCTTGACACAGCTCTCGATACCTTCCAAGACTCCCCTTGTATTGGCAATGAAGTTTGGTGTTTTTTCACCCTATCGATGATTGAATTGTTTATAAACCGTACTTCCCGTTCTACTTTATAAGAAATGAACTCCAGATAACCATAAATCCATGTGTGCTATATTATCAAAAAAAACCCAACTACAACAAATACCCAGAAAGCGCTCCAGAATTCCCCTCCGTAGAATCGAAATGTTCCGAACTTTTATACATAAATTAAACTTCATTTTTCCTTTTAAAACCCGCATGCCGTTAACTTATTTCGCTTTGTAATGTGTTGTGCTCTTCTGTGAATGTCATAAGCTATTCAAAATAAATATGTGATCGCTTAATTTTTGACACTGATATTCTGAATATTCGAATTGCATATCTCTTTCAATAAAGATCATTGATCATTACCGACAAAGATGATTATAAACGAAATTGTTAAAATCTACGCGCTATATTATGAACAAAAAAAATGTTGTGATAGTATGTTCTTAAACGTTTCCCTGGTCTTAATATAATTCTATGTTTATTCATTTATCTTTTGGGTATTTTGTGGTAAAATTTCGATGACTTTTATCATGAATGTATATTGCACTGTATACAACTTCATTTCAGAGTCGGATCAGGGAGCTGGAGGATGCCGTGGATAGCGAGAGGGACATGCGTATCAGAGTAAGTATGACGTCATTTTGGTTACTTATGAAACCTTGTCGCTGTTTTGTTGAATAAGTGAAGGTCATCCTAACGCTTGTCAGAAACAAGACATTTCAAACGTTTCAATAACCGAGACTTTACACGAGTATTATAACGGACACCCATACAATAATTAAGTGTAAACAGGACGCCCCGTCAATAGGCGCCGTCAATAGGCCCCGTCAATAGGCGCCGTCAATAATCAAACTAGTCTTACCTAAATTGATCTGTCAAAAGAAGATTGCGCGGTTTTGTTTTTTTGGTTTTTGTTTGTTTTTTTAAATCAAACTGAAGGTAGTAAAACAGACAACCTGAACTATTTTATGATCAGTTATTCTTTATCTAGCCGGGAAAGCATTGACTTATTTAACACCCCAGTACGAGTCCTCAAAGTATTCTACACCCTCTTAAAACACGCGGAGAGACACTATCAGATAAGGCTTCTTTTGAAGTTTAATACTGATTAAAAAGCAGATGTCCCATTAAAATTCGTTCACAATCATACCATCGTGAAACAATTGGGCGATGTAATATAATGGGTAACATGTTAAAATCTCCTAAAGTAAGGCAAGGGTCATTGTTGTGTAAAGTACGTTTTATTGGTAATAACAAAACGGTGGAACGAATGTAAAACACGTGTTTAAAATTGAATTGACACCGTCAAATATGTATTTTATTGGTGAAATGACGGCAATATGGAAAAAGTCAGTTATGTTTTATTACTACTTTTTGTGCGGGACGGATGAGGAAACGATCAACACGTATGATAATTTATATGCAGTACGTGTTTGAGGAGGTAATGCTTTTACCTAGCGAGCTGCTGAGACAGCGATTTGCTGTGCGCGTGTATTACACTACGAACGGCACACTTGCCCCTAAATATGTACCGTCTGTTGTGTACGGCACGGTCAGTGTAACCCAATACTGTAGCGAAGAGCTTCCCTTCCACTGTCTGTCTTAGCCACGTAGATATCTATCTATTACCCGGGCTGAGAATTTCTCTTTCATGTAAACAGCAGTTGTAGGCTGGCTTCGGGCCTCATTGTCAGATCCCGTAATGATCTCACGTCATGATAAGAATGGTTCCCCACTGCCTCTCAGCCAAACAAGATGGCGTCAGATTTACAGGTGTAAAGGGGGATCGGGAATTATCATCTGGTGTCTGACAGCTAGCCCCAGGGGGTCGGGGCGTGAGGAGGATTACGCGAGCTACATCCCTGAGGATAGTCTGATTGGAGTTTGCTAACAGACCTATGTGTATTTAGAGGCAATACTTAGAACATATATAACAAAATTAATCGTCTTAGGTCGAACATATGGTAACCAAGTTATTCGTATATCATTATGAAAAGTTGCAAAATACACGTCCTTGAATGACCTTATCTGTAAATAGGACGTTAACCCCACCCCAAACAAACAAACAAAAACTTTCAAAAATAAAAAATTAATGATCAAATTGGATGCACCTCTTATAGCCATGTGCTTATCTTATTTTGTATGAATTGAGAAGACTAATTTGAACCCGATACATCTTTCCCCCGTAAATATTTGTTTTAACTTTCATTTTGAATCTTTAGCTGGTACTTGATATGTATCAATTACGTTATTCTTTAGCTTACAATAAGCAGTCATGTATAACAAACATTTTTAAGTATCAAAATCCATATATTTCTTCACAACATTATATCACATTATGCAAAATACAAGAGCATGTTCTTGTTAAAAACATCTCTCGAAGGCCAGTGACGAATCTTAAGGAATCAGCAATGAATTCAGATTTAATCAAAATTTTCGTTAATGTCGTCAAAACAAGTCCCCAGACTACCTCTCCCAAACAAGTCCCTAAAAACAAGTCCCCAAACTACCTCTCCCAAACAAGTCCCCAGAACAAACCCCAGCCTACCTCTTCCAAACAAGTCCACAGAACAAACCCCAGGCTACCTCTCCCAAAACAAGTCCCCAGATCAAACCACAGACTACCTCTTCCAAACAAGTCCACAGAACAAACCCCAGGCTTAACCTCTCCCAAAACAAGTCCCCAGATCAAACCACAGACTACCTCTCCCAAACAAGTCCCAAGAACAAACCCCAGACTACCTCTCCCAAACAAGTCCCCAGACTTCCTCTCCCAAACAAGTCCCCAGACTACATCTCCCAAAACAAGTCCTCAGATTACCTCTTCCAAAACAACTCCCCAGACTACATCTCCCAAAACAAGTCCCCAGATTACCTCTCCCAAAACAAGACAGACTATTGTCCATTGCTATACCACCTCTCAAGGATTATTTTATTTTCCTTTGACAGTTCGAGAAACAATGTGCTGAACTGACCTTCCAACTGGATCAGTCCAACGATAGGTATGAGGAGGCTTATGGTCTACAGTCCACACAGGTATGACAAATTCATTTACATCGAATAAACACGGTATATCATATCATTATGAAATTAAGACAGAATAAAAAATGTATACATAATTGCGTCAAATTCCAAATGATATGAATATAACATCAAATTAAATAAAAAAAAATAACTTTGAAAAGTATTTGTAAGTGTACTGAACGAACATTACACACGATACAACCATACTGCAGCGAACAGATAAAATATAATGTTTTGTTTCATCAGACTGATATTGCCAGGAAACGTGAAGCGGAAGTCATCAAGCTTCGCAAAGACTTTGAACTGGCGAATGCTCAGTACGAGGCTCAGGAAAGCAGCCAGAGGAAACGTCATCAAGAAGCTCTCAACGACCTCGCGGACCAACTCGAACACATGTCCAAGTCCAAATCTAGGGTCGAGAAAGAGAAATTAACACTTGTCGTTGAAATCGATGGTCTTCAGATGGCAAACGATTCTCTGGCCAAGGCTAAGGTAGGTACCCATATATAAATTGGTCAAGGCTAGGGTAGGTACCCGTATACAAACTGGCCAAGGCTAAGGTAGGTACATGTACCCGTATACAAACTGGCCAAGGCTAAGGTAGGTACCCGTTTGCAAAACACAATGTCGTAAGTCCAGTAAAAACTTCTCTTCTCCTTTGACGTCAAGAAATTGTTTTCCCAAAATTAAAATTGCTCAAATTGTTTTCACACTGCCCCTATCAAGTATACAAACATTAGTAATTATCATATAAAAAATGTTACAAGCCAGTAACGACATTGAAACAGATATATTTCCTCTATTTTGTGGAATGTTTCTAATGAATTATCAACCATATCTTAAAAATTAAATGATAAAAACATTGCTCAGATCATATTTTTGGCTTGTTCACACCAGAAGCTCAGTGCATTGCTCGTTAGAGCAAGAAACTTGATTTCAGAGCATAAGAAAAAGAAATAAATTTAACCTTATTGACATGCTTTCGAGTATCTTTTAAGGTGTATTGAACTATCTTAGTTTTATTGGTTATGTCAAAAGAAATGGTAAACACAACCCATCTCTTTCCCCACGGAACACATTACCTTAAAATATTATCATTTAATCAGCTAATTTGCATAAATAACGTAACTGTTCCTACAGTGGTCGGTCCTTTTTAGTTTGTAAAATGATCCTAATACATTGCTTTCTTTGGTTATAGTCATCACTTGATATGAGGGTCGAGGGTTTGGAGAGTTCCAACATCCGTTTGAAGGCTCAGGTAGATGACATGACCCGTCAGCTCAACGATCTCAACGGCCTCAAAGCTCGCCTCACCCAAGAGAATTTCGACCTTCAACACCAGGTACAGGAGCTGGACGCCGCCAACGCCGGACTCGCCAAGGCCAAATCTCAACTTCAAGTCCATCTTGATGATTTGAAGAGGAACTTGGATGACGAGTCTAGGGTGAGTTAAGTAGAAACGTCCATTAAATATACAAAAAAGCACATTCTCCTCAACAACAATAAAAAAACGCATTAAGTTACACCACTCCCCTAATATATATAATTTAAAAATCTTCTTTCAATTTCAACGAATAATATTATTTCAAACAATTAAAAATCACAATAGCCACAAAAAGTAGTACATGAATCAATAATGGTCTTTCCTTACCTTTTTACAGCAAAGACAGAACTTCCAAGTTCAACTCAGTGCACTGCAGAGTGACTATGACAACCTGAACGCCCGCTATGAAGAAGAATCCGAAGCCGCCTCCATTCTCCGTAATTCCCTCAGCAAGGCCAACAGCGACCTTGTGGCCCTCAAGTCCAAATACGACAAAGAAATCACCGTCGTCCGCGAGGAACTTGAGTCTGTCAGGTGAGAAATAATTTGGTTTAAATGCTTCGTTGTTTAGTCCGTTAAGTGAGAACTATTTTCAGACTCTCATACTGTGATCTCAATCAAAACCAAAACAATAATAGAGCACGCTTGTTATCTAAAAGCTTCAGAGACCTTTAGCCAGGGCATTTTATGACAAATGATGGTAACCGCCTTTTATGCAAGTTAGCTTGAATGATTAACTAGAAGACTCGTCAAATGTTTATAAAAATTGAAAATACATTTTGACAAATCTTGAACGCAGTTTTCTATCTACACAATCAAAGTTATCGACCCGTAAGTGTGTCTGAGGTATCGCTCCAAGTCAAACAAGAAAATAAATAGACCCTGGGAAACAAACGTCTACCGGTATTAATAAGTCATTCAAGAAATAAAACAAATATTCAATAAAATCTCAATGTTGTCGATAATATGCATTAACTAGCAACAAAATCTGCTATCTACACGTGTTTGGCAGTCAGTCAATTGAACTTTACAAGGAATGTTTCCACGAATCATCCAACGAGGAGCCCGTCCTCACTTGCGGTCACCCCGCTAATGCTTCGGTACTGGGAGTAGATTTTGATCTTTACCTGAAAAAAATGTTTGATTTCTAATAAAAACATTAGAACATGTTTATATTTTCACGTCTGTAATGTTCGAAGGGGAGACGGTATTACATTATCTGACCTTAACCTTTCAGGAGGAAGTTTATCGTCCGGGTACAGGAGTTGGAGGATGCGTGCGACACACTCAGGGCCCGCAACTCCAACCTCGAGAAGGCCAAGGCTAAACTCACAAACGAAGTTAGAGAACTCAGCATCGAAATCGAAAACGTAAGTAAATATGAAACAAAAAACAAAACAAAAATACGAGAAAGTGATTTTGTTAAAAATGTCATCTTCACAGGTTCAGAAGATTGTTTGGGTTAAATTACCAGAACTTGTGTAAAGCGATTTTGGGCCATTTTAATTTCAGATTTCTCTTACCCTTTTAAAAACAAAAATCCGTACAATCCACAGACATAATTTATAGATGTTATGACAAGCTTCTGATCACCGTGCGAATAACGAGTGAGCTCGTACAACGTAACTTTACAGGAAACAGATCAGTTATAATAAGTACTAGTACCAGCCTTTCGCCCATTTTCTATGACTTTAAAGTAATACCTGAAACCTATCAATCTGGTAACCATAAAAAACGCTTTGTATAACGTTGTATTTTTCTACATTATTGCATTTTGTCCCAAAATAAATTATAATATAGCATGCCTCTTTCTTCTTACAGCTCACCATCATCGTACAGGATCTCACCAAGAGGAACAGACAGTTGGAGAACGACAACGCCGCTCTCCAAAAGAAGGTCGACGACCTTTCTGCCGAGAACGCTGCTCTTCGCTCAGAGAAGGCTGCGCTCGAGGGCGAGTGCCAGCGACTCAGGGTCAAGGTCGTCGAGCTCCAGGAAAAGAACGACAACCTCGGACGCGAAAACAAGAAATTGGAGGGTATGTTATTGTATCTTCACCTCGATTAGAATCTGAGGAAACAAAACTTAAGTTCAATTTTGAAAAAGCAATTTATTCGTTTTACATTCATTAGAAGGCGCGGTCGTCTAGTGGTAGGACGCCGGGCTCGTGACCGAAAGGTAGCGGGTTAGAGATACTTCATTCCGCTTGTTCCAGTCTACTCAGCTGTAAATGAGTACCCGGTTGGGCAGTGCTAGAATTGTAGAATGCTAGCTGTAAGCGCCGAAATGGCAGCACAGGCTGCATGTTCCCCAGGGAGTTGAGAACGATATTGGCTGGTTGCAAAGGCCAGGAAAAACCACGGATAATAATCTGTGAACCGCTTTGAGACAACCTACTAGGTTGTGATATAGCGGCTTGATAAGAACCTCGAATTATTATTATTATTATTAAAGATGATTTATACCATCGCTATGACTGATATATGCTTTTAACCTTTTATGAAAAGTAGGCGTATGGCTTAAATGAGTAATGTATCGCAACATGTTGAGGAGGTTAGATAACAGCCTCACACCTGGACGTTTGGAAGTCGGATCTTTGCTGCATAATCGTATGCTATGGATCCCCCTACATAATCAAGGGTTTTGCTTCTGTGTCGTTATGCTAGTGACGCTCATGCAGAGACTAATATTGATCGGCTCCCTTCGTTAAAACTCCTTAGGGATTCATCTGATCTTCCCTTTTTTATCTAAACTTACCTCTTTGGTGCCTCCCAACCCAGGACACCCGTTGTAAGCCTGTTGTCAGAATATCGTTACCGATCGACTGCCAAGTTACAGTGTTAAGGTTGTAATACTTCGGTGTGTTGTCATTTCTGAATGACAGACCCTTAGTTAGCATCTTTGTTTTTATATGAGCTTTTATATATATGTATATGATAAGAAGGCAGAAAACCCAAATAGAAATACGAACTAACAATTTCTATGTGAAATATGCATTAAATTAATAAGTAGTTAATTTCTCGTTCAGATGCTCTCAGGGAGACAAAGCAAGCCCTCAAGGAAGCCAACAAAGCCAACGAGGAACTCAGGTCCGCCAACGCCGCCCTCCTCGCCGAGAGGGATAGCTTGGCTGCCGCCCTGCGTGACACCGAGGACGCCCTGCGTGATGCCGAGAACAAACTCGCCGCCGCCCAAGCCGCCCTTGCTCAGCTCCGCGCTGAAATGGAACAGAGGCTCCGTGAGAAGGACGAGGAAATCGACAGCATCAGGTCAGTACAATTTACCTTGCTCTATGCGTTTAGAAAGTAAACCTTTCGCATACAGAAAAATGATCGCAGAATAAAAATACAGGGATATATGTAAATGACAGCGGCTTTTGTAATATTTCGTTGAGACTAGCGCCCTCCCCCACCCATAACCCCTTATTTAAATATCATAACTCGTTTAGAAATAATCCCCCTCCCTTATTAAACAGTGGACTGTCTGAGTTGGTCGACAAAATTCATGAAGCTTAAAAATCCTAACTATTATTTAGACCATCATAATATCAAGAATCAAACGAGAACGAAAATAAAACATTATACCACCAGTAATCAGTGAAATAGTCTGGTATATGTTTACCACCGAGCCATCAGTCCACATCGCTGTTCTACAGATACTGCCACCCCCTGTACATAGTCCAGAGGGAATATAAATTCTTCATTTAGAAATGTTCAACATTGACACTCTGTAGTAACTTCATGTTTTACTATCTTATGGGGCTGAATCTCCGCGGCTGATCTGACTGTGGTATCGCTGGTATCACCTTATAGCTGACTTATCTTGACGTTAGTCACTGCCTTTCCTGTACAACCAGACCTCTTGTAGAATATAGGTAGAGTTCGGGTAATATTCATAGACATAAGTTCTCAAAATGGCTGGGCGAGAGGATGAACTTCACACTTTCGGTCATTATTTTCGTTCCTTGAACATGTAAGTTACTCTTCCATTATTCGATTACATGGAGTGTGTGATGCGTCATCAAGTTTTGTGATTGTGTCTGACATCGTCATATTATGTGATAGTGGACGGTGTGAAACAGTATTACCGAAGTGTGCTTTTGATGTAATCCCATACAGACGATGCGTGTATCAATATCGTTAGAAAGGAGAAAGGACTCATTGACCATGTATATTCTTGAGGAGTAGACTTTTCACATTGGGACATACAGAAATAATTTGTGACATAAACAAGCATGGCGTAGTGGCTACAGTGTCAGGCATGGCAGCCATAGTATGCACTGAAATTCATAGCAAGATATAATGTTCAAAACATAAGCTTTAGAACTAACAATGATTTTCGGTTTTTGCAATTTGTGTGACTGTATTTAAAATATAATTACAAAATTGTTCTTGGAACTGTTGTTCTTCGTAAAAACATGAAACAAGTTAAACAATACGTTTGTGAGCTTCACGCGATATCGAACTACTTGCCTCTAATTCGACTGAACGAGGTTTTTTCTATTGGTTAAGAAATCTGAATTTACTTAAATTAAATACCATTATCAAATGTTACCGTTATTTTGTATCCAGAAAACGTGATTTTTCTTCCAAATTGTATATCTAATTTTTTAACGTCCCTGCAAGACATATGAGTCATATGAACACAATTCATGGTGTAACAAAATATCATATTATGACGCGACAACAACATAAGTCAATTGAGTAGACCTTACCAATCTGGAGTGTAGTGATGACGTAAACTCACGGTCCTCACGTGTTTGTATTACAGAAAGAGCAGCGCCAGGGCTATCGAGGAGTTACAGAGGACCCTTGTGGAGGTGGAGGTCCGCTACAAGTCCGAGATCAGCCGCATCAAGAAGAAGTACGAGACTGACATCAGAGAACTGGAAGCTGCTCTTGACAATGCTAACAGGGCCAACTCCGAATATGTGAAACAGATCAGATCTCTCCACATCCGCGTCAAGGTAAGTCACCCAAATCAGCCCTACAGCTGGTGTAACAGATCGGATCTCTCAGTCGGCGTCTGTTCAATCATAAAGTTTTCAGTACTTTATATATATATATATATATATATTAATGATAATCAGATAATGTCATTTTCAAACAAAATGGTCAGAAAATAAATACACAATAGTTACAATTGAACATTGTCACTAGTGACTGATTCACTAAAAGTCCACATGCTTTATTAGTTTAATTCTTGTCTGCTATTGGGATGAAAAATTGGGGAGTAGCAGTTTAGTAGGGTAAGCCATCACTTGTTCATTATGAGGGTAAGGGTTAACAGGAATACACCGTCCAAATAGAATCCCGTGTACATAAACATCTCATTCACTGTATTTCGCGGCTAATCCGTTCAAATGATCTGTGAATCTGAGAAAATGATATAACGATTCTAACTGTAATTTATTTAGCCTATTCTAATAATAGAAACTCTGGAAATGGCCCGGTGAACTAAGGTGTGCACATACTTATGAACATGATCTACACTGCTTTAGTAGGCCCTTATCTGATATCTGATAATATATATCACATGGTAGTGTGTTCTCTGGGCAGAAAAAATGAGCTCTCCGACTTGTGAGCTTAGCATGACGCCGCAGTAAAACAAGTGCTGTTCTCCCTGAAAACTGCGTTTAAAAGATTTATAACGTTACTGCCCTATCTATGGTGAAACTTTGAAAATAAAGCAGTGAATAATTATATTAAAAGTTCTATAAAATGTATCGTTTTAGCTATAGGGTTAAGGTGAGGTGAGCTATAACGCACAGGGCTGTGTAACATATGTAGCACGTACAGCAATCTTATATAGATCTAATTATTAAAACTTTTTAACGGTACAGAATATTAATAAATCACGGGTTTTAGCGATATTTGTCTTGTTCATTGTTTTTCGTGAAGCAAATGGATCACACTTAAGAAATCTTGTAAATATTTATACAGATTAAAACAAAAGGCATGCACTATGTATAAATGTTAACATTAGCGGATTAAGTTTGTCGCGAAGTTATTTACAGTAACATGTGATCGTTCTGTTATTGTAGGAGCTCGAGGCCATTAACGAGGAAACTTCCCGCAGACTTGATGATGCCCTCGCCCAACTGTCCGTCTCCGAGAGGAAACGTGTCGCCCTCCAAACCGAAGTTGAAGACCTCAGGGCCGCCATGGAGAACGTGAGTAAATTCTATGGTTCTAATGTACAAATAATAAAGAAGTTTTAGTTATACTGTAAAATCGTTAAATTAGGGATCGTTTTTGTTCTCTACGAATTCATATATTATATTAAATATGATGAGCAGTAGAATGGTTTCAAACTAATGATGTTTAGCAGTCGTGTGAAATATCTTATTCATGTTGAAAATTGAAAAATAAAAACAAACAAACAAAATTTAAGCACAACAAAATTAAAAGAACATTTTGTACTCTTGTTGATTTCAATATATGATATTGAAGTGCATACATATCTCTGCCTATATATAACTTGATAATCTCGAACAAGTCATGATTGGATGACGTTTTTGACATCAACCTTGAAACTTACGGCACAAAAATATCTTGTCAGAAAAACAATATAGAATGAATTAAGCTATGTTTCTTAATGATTCAAAAACTACAATTTTATGATATTAAAAAAAAAGCATCATGTTCTGTGTATTATGATTCAAACAGTCCGAGAGGGCACGCAAGAACGCCGAAACTGAGCTCAACGAGGTATCCATCCGCCTGTCAGAAATTCAAATCCAGGTCAATGTCCTTGTCAACGACAAGCGACGCATGGAAGCCGACATCTCTGCCATGCAGACTGACCTTGACGAGGCCCTCAACGGCCAGAGAGCCGCAGAGGAGCGTGCCGAGCGTCTCTACAACGAGAACAGGCGTCTTTGTGATGAGCTCCGCCAAGAACAGGAGAACTACAAGAACGCCGAGAGCCTCAGGAAGCAGCTTGAGATTGAAATCCGCGAGATTACCCTCAGGCTAGAGGAGGCGGAGGCCTTCGCCCTTCGGGAAGGAAAGAGACAGATCGCCAAATTACAGGCTAGAGTACGTGTTGGCTTTACGTCGTGTTTGTATGAAAGAAGTATTAATATTCCGTAATATCTCTTTGAGAGTATATGTATGTAACATTATTGGGCTAGGCAGTTGCTATCCTAAATACATGGTATATTTATAAATGGTAGTTTCGACTTACGCTTGTATATTGAATCTTTTATTGAATTAATTACTGCTATTTCTTCTCGAAGAGATATTTTAACTAAATATATTTCTGTTTTCTATACTCTCGTAAAGATAAAGACCTTTTTCTTATGTTGAAATTGAATTGGAATTTACTACTTTTACCCAAGAAAGACCACGTAACTATCACATTATTAAATTTACCAAACCTATTGTTTGTGTACCGTATAGATCCGAGATTTGGAGGCTGAAATGGAAGCTGAGCAGAGGCGAAGCAGGGAGGCCATCGGAAACATGCGTAAATACGAACGTCAATACAAAGAACTATTTAGCGTGGCTGAAGATGATCACCGCATGGTCGCCGAACTGACCAGTATTAACGATCAGCTAAGCATGAAAATCAAAATCTACAAGAGACAGATCGAGGAGGCGGTACGTCCTCACTTTTCAATTATTTTAAGACGTCATTTCTAAAAAAAAAAAAACAAACAAAAAAAACACACACACACACACAACAGAATAAATCACTACAATTGGATTGTATAATCCGGACATAAAAGCTCTTGAACAAATGTGTCAAATACATTATAAATCTTGACGTCAGTGTTATACGTATATCATTATCAAAGTTAAGGCTTTAATTAACGATTTAAATGTTTCACTAGTTGGTCTTTATCATCATCTATTCCATTAGTAGTCTAATCCTTTTTATTCTTATATTTTTATATTTAAAAAAGGGGAAAAAAAACATTTCTTATGATATGACAAATATTATTTTAAATAAAAAATAACCGTTTCTTTCATTCGTTTTTAATGTCATTACAAAAATTATTGCTGCTGAAAATGTGATAATGGACTAGAATCCTATAACTGTTTACAGGAAGACGTAACCAGTATTACAATGAGCAAGTACCGCAAGGCACAACAGATGATCGAGGAGGCTGAGGGTAGAGCAGACATCGCCGAGAAGAACCTTACACACACCCGCAGAACGCGATCAATGTCCGTCCAACGGGATGTCAAGGTCGTCCGGATGTAAACACAACACATGTGAGTACTTCCGGTCGGGAAAACTCGGATCGTTTACTTTTTGTTTTTAGGTTAATTGAAATTTTGAGCATAGAATACGTTAAGTAAGCATTAAATTTAGATCCTGATTTTTTTCAACACGATTCGAAAAAATGTCTCCGTGATATCAAAATATAAATCTGGTATAATGAACTAAGTTTAGTGTTATAAGCAAATAATCTGTATATGATAAAAAAATTAAAGGATGGAAAAATATGCATATGCTTGCAAGTAACAAAGTGAAGTTTTCTTTCTATCGTGCAGGTATCACAGTAAACGATAAAAACTGCCAGGTTATATTTTATTGATTAAGTTCGTGCCTTCGTTAAATGTACATCAGATTGAATATACAACAGTATAGTCTAATTACTGGTTTGTTTTGGTGTTATATTAACCTAGTTTTCCTTTTACAGTTATGGTGCCTATCATTTTACATACAAAAAGCCAGTGCCACATTGACATCAAAGAGACGCTATTTATTTAAATATGGGGATTTCACTGACTGAATTCCGAAATGTCCCTAAACTTGTACAGAGACGTTTATTTTTTGGTTATTAATCTTATTCATTGTGCAGATGTGATTAAAAAGCATATATGTGTGTGTTGCTAATGATGGAATTGTACAGGAATACTTAGGGAGACCGGCTATTGCTCGGCACGGGGAAAGCGGAAGTCTCTTTAGATATATACGTAATCCTGGAAGGAATGACGTCATATTACGCAAATTCTACATTTTCCGTTTTATTCGGTAGGAGGCACTTGGATGTATGGCGTCGTCACAGAAATACTCTCGTAACAAAACGTTTCGTGTAAATATTTACACATTAAGGGCACTGGAAAGCATGACGTCATTTTATTCGACCTAAACGCTCAAACTCTTTATCAATGTGCTGTTAGAGATCATCGCCAATGTTTATGTACTTATCATGTCAATGTGTAGAGGAAGTGACGAAATCGATGACAAGCGATGACAGGAAACGTTCACAAGAGAGACGAACAGGAAGTTTACTGTTGCTATAGTAACTGGTACTTTTTTGGCGGAGAGAGAAAAAACCCAACAAAAACGAACTATTCTGTTTCTTGAGCTTAGCTTTGTCAAACGTTTCAAACAATGTGCAATATAGTCATTTTATAAATGTGATATTTAAGAGAAACGAAAATTATGTTAAATAATGTTTTGGTACTTTTTATGTTGATAATTTATACAGAGTTGTCGATATATTTAAATAATGTATAGCAATGAATAATTAAGTCGAACGAAGGACTGTTTGTATGGAGGACACGTGTCTCTACAGACAGATACTGTCGATACCTGCAGGCACGGTGCGCTCTGTATACATTGTAGTGTTCACCATGCTAGTACTTTTACAGAGAACGACGACAGTATGTTATACGTTTCCCTCTGCTAAAATAAATTCCATTATTTGTTGCTTATACATACCGAGTCAGCTTATCTTTTATCGTCACTACCTTTGTTGTTTATCTATTTAGATACAAACAATCAAAACCTGGAAAATCATTTCATCTACAGCTTACTGCCATTCTTCCGAAAGTCAAAACATATTATCAATGTAAAAACAAAATGCTTCTAATACGTCCTGAAGTCAGTCAGTCAATAAGATTTGGAAAAAGTTTTGATGTTCGGCAGAATGGCGATAAGCCTACTACAATGTATGAGTTCCATTGACAACACCGGCTGTTCCTGATAACAAGGATTGAAAAAGAATACGATGGCTACCAACGACAGTTTGTATAAGGAAGTCACGGGACAACGAGATACTTCGGTTATGTTTCGTCATTTGGTGAACAAGCATTTCATTTTATCATAAGACTGATTGTGGATGATTTATAACAGGATGTTCGCAAAACACACGTTAATATGACAAAATAATCAATGCGAACCCATTTAAAAGTTAAATTTAAAACAAAAAAGTAACTAAGTGTGGAAGTGACTTGTACTCAATGACATCGTATGGATGTGGGAGGATTTCACATAGTTTAGTTCTAATTTTACAGTAAAATAGAAAAGTGATAAATAAACGCAAACATTATAGAGGAAAATAAACATGGCATGTCACGTGTGAGCTTATGATCATTATTACACACACATACTCGGTCTTAATGACAATATGGTGTAATCACCAGCAATAACTCCAAAGCACACATGATGTTATGTATACAGTACCTTATATCAATATAAAAAGAAGGATATTAGCTCGATTCCAACATCAAATATCATTTAAATATCCGGACAGTAGAGTACAAGACAACCAAATCCTAAAACAGACATCCGTCTGTCTGTTACAATTTCAAAAATTGTTTTAATATTTAGACACATGCTAAGCTTAACGAAATGGAATTTTGAAAAAGAAATTAAATAAAAATCCAAAACATTTAAAACGACACGAAACAAATCCACATGTAAACAAAAAATGTCAAACAGTTTATGTATCAGAGTTACCTCCCATTGTCAACCTGCAGATTGATCTTAACAAGATATTCATAAGGCGGTGTCAGACTATACTTCCACTCTTCCATTACATCAGATGGGAGATACACACTAAACCTATATCTTACCTTTTTCTATCTAAATACGTTTTGGATAATGGATTCATAATCGTATGGTAACGTAATTCGGAGTCTGACCGTCAAGGAATGGTCTTCTCAAGATGGCGGCCAATGGTGACAACAAAATATAGACGCCGACTTCAAACCTGAAAATCTGGTGTTTTGAACCATGATCTGACAATGACAGGAAACTGTATAAACTGTATGAGTTATCAAATTGGTACCACTGCAGGTAAATTCAGATAATAATGGTCAGGTTAATCAGTGGTCAGAGAAAATTTTAAAATATAAATACAACCAAGTCAAGAATTACAGTTGGGTGAGACAGATCAGGTTGATGTGTTTTGATGATTCGTTTTACTTTTAACGTTCTTGTATTTTAAACGCGGTCAAACTCCACGCTTACGCCAAAAGTATTTCGGGCAACCACAGACGAGAAGCGAAGGATGTATGTAAGGTTTACATATTTCTCAGTTTATGCAGTTTTCTGTCATTGTCAGATCATGTTTAAACAACAGATTTTCCGGTTTGAAGTCAACATCTTCTTTTTGTTGTCACCATCGGCCGCCATATTGAGAAGGCCATTGACGGTTACACAAGAGTGTTACTATGAACTTTAAATACCAACATCAAGGACATGCGTACTCTAAAACATAATACAAATGTAGCAAAGATCCATTGATTTATTTGTCAATGAATTCAAAGTCTTATACTTCAATCCACGTTTAGCTCATTTATAAAAAGAACGTTCGTGTAATTGTGTAGTTTCCCTGAGTTGAGCAATCTCAGCTACGCATGGGAAAAGATTGTTCGCCAACGGATATACATGAAGAGGTTTACGAAAATCGCATTGGGTAAAATATAATGACACATTGTCGCGCTGTCTTTCATAATAGCCCTGCTACCTGCGCCAATTGTAAGTATAAGTGTAATAGATGATCAATAATTTTCTGTTAACAAACATCTCGTTTGTTATTACTCATTGAAATACTCTTTCTCAAAGACCGCCGGGAACTGTAAGTCGCGGAACACTTCTGTTTTTAAATGTAACCATGAATATCTAGAAATAGTGATCGATAAATAACATAGGACAACAATGAAAACTCCCGAGGAGTTCGGACGAATCAGAGGAACTCGTTCTCGGGACTTCAATGACTACTCTACACACTTTGACAGAGAACAAAAATAAGAAACATATTTTGATGAAAAGTGCCGTGTATGACTGCAGGGAGAATGTGATTTAAGATAATGTCAGCTGATGCCCATATGTTTCTCAGTCATAACATTGACATTGACAGTTTTAAACACACAACAGGTTAGTTTTAACTTTAATTGGATACCTATATATACTGTCCCTAGACCGAATATACTGCTTTACAGCATTTAGAGGCCAAGTGTTCCAGTTCTACATCTTACTTTGTCATTATACTACAAGTAATACCAAGGTATTCATGAGAGAACGTTATAGTTACAATATCAAGTTTATAAAATGGCAAACAAGGCAACATCCTACTTAAAGGACACGTAACGGCAAGAGTGGAGGTACCCTGTTACTATCTGTAGTCTGAACCGACATAAAGCTTGATTTAGGTGTAAGGGGAGGTAACTCAAATATCTTTATGGTTTACTAGCCTGCCACTCTTGCGAAGAAATTTCACATAGTCTCAATTTTACTGTTTTCTTGAACCAATTGATATAAGCAACATTTTGAGTAGACCCTATGTTAGACAATCGACACCTGTTTAAGACATCTGCTGTATGAGATAACCCCGGGGAGTAAAACGAACCCCTAGTATAGTGACGTAACAGTACACGCTATACTATATTACAAATGATGCTGTCTTGCTCACTGTTGGCAATATCGGCCAAGAATGACAGCATACGAGTCTTAATATGAACTGAAAGAGAAAGTCTACCAAACCCACCTTTTACTATGTCATCACATGTACAGGAATGTACATGTAAGATTATTTTGCAGTATACCATATGTAATACCTCAATTACATTACATTTTTCGTGACCCTAGCACTCACAATTTTTAAGTAAAACTGGTGTAACTAATTAATCAAATAAGTCTAATGCTAAATCTAGTGGTAAATATAATTATCTGACTTTCTTTATAAGAGAGAACATTAATTTTGCTTTTTTAGTCAGTCCATAATTTGTAAAATTTGGTAAACTTGTAAATTTTACTTAAATGGTCCGATAAGTCATTCAAGAAGATTGCAAAACGTAACGGTGAGAGATTTACACCTTGACGAATTCCTGTTTGGACCATTGGTGTGCTTGCCTCCTTGTGATAGCGCGGATCTGATGCCGACTTTATAGTGCTATCTCACTGAAATACCATGCCGAAGGCATCTAGCACAGTATTCCGCCCGGTCACATTATACTGACAACGGGTGAACCAGTTGTTGCCATTCCCCTAAATGCTGAACGTTAAGCAGGGAATAACAACTAGCATTTTTATGGACTTTGGTATGTCCCGGCCTGGGGACAGAACCCATTGCCTTCCTCACCTCGGCGAACGCTCAACATTAAGGCAAAAAGTGAAATGTTGCCCGGCAAGGCGCTAGAAAAAAATAGAAGGTAGTCAGAAGTAGACAGAAAGATAAAAATCCCAAATATTACAATGGGTGCAGCTTATATTGTTTGGTCGCTGTTGTGTCCCCAAATAGAGGACATCAAAGCAAATCCCATACTCTACAGAGTGTTCACACGTTAGTCGCCTCCTACGATACATGCAGTGGGTATCAGCAGGTGTATTCTTTTCACGATCCCCCACCTGCAAGGGTGTGTTTGAAGTTTAAAAAAAAAGAAATTATGATGTTTTCTCAAAAACCTGAACAAAATAGTCATTGTCCTAACCCTACCCCTAGTCAGGGGCCAAACATAAAAGTTCTGATATATCTAGTATCCTAAATAACCATCTAGTTCATGCCAATTTTCATACATACCAGTTCTTAACTATGCGGACCAGAGAGTTAAAATCTTCTATGAATTGAATGATTTCATCCCACTTGACTTTCAGCTAGTGTTATATGGTAGTGACGAATTGTCCCAGTAAGATAATGAACTAAGAGTAAGACAGACGCGGCAATACACTCGAGATACACACAGATTTTGAATATTATCTCTTGCACTCCCAACAGGTTCACAAATTAGACTAATCTTATACTAAGGTTGTTTTTCAGTTGACTCTGTAATACAATAATATAGTTAATCTGTGTAACATTAATTGTATAATCATTTAATATTTGAAAATGAAACTAAACCATGTTTCTGGCGTTTCTCTGTGCAGACGGAAAAGTGGAGCAAGCGACGAGTGTACAGGCTAGCACAGGATGTGATAAACCTTAGAACAGCAGACAGTGAACGAATATAGTGAATAGATTGTCACTAGTTTCGTTTGCATTGAGAAAGAGCAGTCAGATCCCCCCCTCTCTCTCTCTCTCATAAAAAAGTTTCCGGTGAAGGACCTCCAAATCACATTTCCCATTATGTCTTGCCACGCTCAGTTCGGCAGCATCACGGAGTTCGGTAACGTCAGTGAGTTTGATAACGTCACTGAGTTGGATAACGTCACTGAGTTCGGCAGTATTATTGAGTTCGGTAACGTCACTGAGTTCGGTAACGTTCCTGAGCTCAGTAGCATCACTGAGCTCGGCAGTAATACTGATGATGTACATCTATAGCTTATTAAGGTCAAAAGTCAAATATTGGTCGTTACTTATACTTTTTGTATAACAATTTGTGTTACTTACAGGCTCAGAATGCAGCCTGGAGTTTTCAGTTTTTCATATATTTTTTTAAACCCTTCATCCTAGAGCTTTTCAGTAATGTTAGGCCCCTCTCCCAAACCCTTCAT